CTGCGAGCCAGGAGGACGCGTTGGGCATGCGTGGGCGATGCGTTGGAGGTGACCAATCATGTACGCCTTGTTAAAAATAACAAGCAGTTCCTCACTGTTTGGCAGATTGGATTGAGGCCCTATCAATCAATCGCTCGGTTTTGCCCTGTGCTGGTTCGGCGGTGGGGTCGGTGTTAGTGGGTCTTCGCCGTAGATTCTGGAGGCCGGTAAAACGGGTTTTTCGTTTTCCCCGCTAAAAGCGGTAGAATAGTAAAACACGTCCCATCAAAGGCTTGAGGGGGGACAAGGGCTCATGCGCTGAGGCTTTTTAAAACGCATCCGAAGATGCACTCTCTGACCTTTGCGGCCCGCGAATTGGGCACCATGTTCCGCCAAGAGGTGGAGCCACAGAATTGCCCAAATCCCTTTCTCTCAACTTCCCCAACCCAGGTCTATTGGGAACAGCCGTTGCTCTTCCCCACTCAACATGAGCAGGACCCGAGAAGCAAACAAGAAGAAAGCAATGTTTGTGTATATCTGTATCTATGCCTATCTTGTCCTGCGATATACTATTTTATCCTTTGTTATCCTACCAAATCCTGCCTTATGCTGTCTGATCCTGTCTAATCTTATCTTATCCTACCGTATCATCCAATATTAGCCTCCTCCCGGTTCCTATCTTATCCTAGGTCTCTAGCTATCTATCTACATATGTACCCAGCTATCTATCCTATCTATCCTATCTAGATATCATATCTGTCCTATCTTCTTGTCTGCCCAATTTACATCATGCTATCTATCTTATGTTTACGCTCCATCTCATCTTCCTGATCTGTCTTGTATGTCTTATCTACCTCGTAAATCACAAGCAAAAAGCTGAACTTTTCTCGTAGTTCGCCCGCAGCTTTGCCACACTTTGCGTAGACCTATTTCTATGAATTCGGCTTATTCTATTTCGTCTAAATCGCATCTTTCGACATGTCGATTTTTGATTCAAAAACCAGTCGGTAGGTTTTTCTGTCGATTCGGTAGATTGTCTATTAAAAATAGTTTAATTTCAGGGCTACGTTTTAGGCAGTTTTGTCGGTCTACACGGATATTCTCAAAAACTATGAGTTAGATCTAATTCAAATATTTCGGGATTCGGCCGTTTTTTGTCTAACCTGGTCTGTTGGGAAAACAGTTTTACGGTTTTACCGTTTCACCGCAAAACTGAAAAGCGGACCTGTTAGCACCTACCCCGCTGCTTGCTGTCAACCGGCTTAGGGAGCCTAGGCTCCAAGGGAGAACCGAACTGGTTCCGGTCTTGTTTGCATGCAGCTATGCAGCGTCCCTTGCTGGGCGGGAACTCCTAGAAATTCTGGGCAAAGCGAACCGCACCTTCAGACAGACAAACGAAAGAGAAAGGATGGAGGGGGATGGAGAGCTCTGATGGAGATGATGGAGGGTGGAGGGAGGGGTGGAGGGCGAAGGTGTGGGGCGCGTGCCTATTCTTAATTGTCGGTTCGAAAGAATCTTGGCCCCTGCAAGGAGGCCTGGTTTCGAGGCTTGGTGAGCGATTGCGGGCCGAGTGTCCAGCTTGGGTATGAAGGCCAGCTGCAAAACAGCACCTCCGCACAAGCCTTGCTGCCACGCCTTGCTTAGCTTGCCAAGACTGTTGGGCATGTTTGCAGGTCAATGGACTGAAGGGTGTCATGTTTAGCTGCGCAGTATACAAGTGACGCCCACGCTTGGCACTCTATTTCAGTTCTTTGTTGTAGACGCTGTCCAAACTGTCCAGAAACGGGCTCTCTGTCTTGTCTTCTTTCTCCTGATCCTCCGGCGAGTCCCCCAACCAGGCTTGCTAGTTCCGCAGACGGGGAAACGGGACGGGAACTAGCAAATCTCTGATATTGTCGCGCAAAACGGAAGGGAGTCTTACCCTATCTTATCCGAATCCTAGCTATATCTAGGCCTATATCTTTCCCTGGCAATCCAATGTATGCATATATCGCCTACATTGGCCGACGCCCGCGCTTTTCAACTACATTGACCGATAAACCTGAATGTAGCCAATTTTTGGGGACATTCAATCCGACAACTTCCGACAAGGGTTCCGACAAGCCTTCCGACAACAAGCTCGCCTCAATTTCGGCGACTCTATAAGACGACGCCCTCCAACCAGCCTTTTCCAATGCCTTTCCGACCGCTAACTTAACTCACAATGCAGGAAAATACAAAGGCACGCCGCAAATTGATGTACGGACAAAACTTAAACTGCGAATGACTGGCAACAACTACAGGGCACAAACAGGGCACATAATGATTCGAGCCAACCCCGGCTATCATTGTCTGTTGGTTGCCTGGCATGCAACAGAAGGAATCGACTAGCATAGTGTAGCAGATCCTGCTGAGGACTTCCGATTGTAACGTTAACCATTTTGACGGGCTGGCTGGCTTGACGAAACAGTGTGGCGACGAAGCACGTGTGCGATAGTTCAAACTTTTCAGGCCACACCGTGAAGCACGTTTCCAGCACTGGGTCACACTAAAGCAACGCCGGTTAGCAAAGATCACTCAACAAACATGATTATTGCGCATGGAGGACAACAACTCCTTGCAAAACACCTCGCAGCAGGAGATCCTGCCAGCAGTCACTCTCAACAAAACCTATCCAAACGCTGATGGGGGTTGATACCCTCCCAACCAAAAAGGTAAAGCAGAATGATGCTACATCGTTGTTGTCCACAGTTACACAATTTCGTCAACTTGCCCGTGCGTAGCTTAAATGTGTTGCTTCCTGATTGCTTGCAAGCTGCAATTTCTGGCTTTGCGAGCTAAGTTTCTCTTATGTTTGATGCGTGCCCACGCAGGGGCGATGGATCATCATGACAAGCTTGTTCGCGGGCCATAAGCCGTCGACCGAAGGTAAGGGGTCTAATTTCCAACAATCACATCTCCAACCAAATACTTGCTTAACGCCGTGCCGCAACCCCGTCCAGAGCGCAGCCCGTCTTAAAAAGCCCTTGTTGTTCAAAGCAGGTGCTTCATTTGTTTCCAGGAGGCTCACTTTGAAAGCATGCTAGCCTGCTAGCAGTTCCCAAGCACCATTCGAGCGGCAACTGCTTGCCACGCGAAATTTCACTGGTCAGATAGAAATTAAGGCTCTAATCCTGCCATGCCCCATGCCGCAATGCAAAAGTCACAGACTTAACAAAAAACAGCTTTGTCAAACGAGATGTGCTGGGAAGGGCTCAAGCGGCGGTCTTGAGGAGAACGGATATGACGCAGTCCAAGCCCCATATGTTGTTTTTGCAAGGACTTGGTTTATCGATGAAACCCAACTAAAAAGGGCACGAGTAACATGATTGTCTAATGCTCTCCTTGATTAAACATGTCCTCGTCAGCTTCTCTCCGAATGTTTTGGGGCATGCGCGCTAGTATTCCATTTGTCCGACAAACGCTTCTAGGCTGGCTTGCCAGGTGACACAATCAATCAAGCCACATCACTTCCAACTTCCAACTCACGGCGCAAACAAAAATCGAGCCTCGTCCGACGTGTCAACACATGAACACAGTCCGGCGAAAAATCACGCTATTTCACGCTATTTCACGGTTTTCCGTTAACGTAAGCAAAAATAAGAAGACAATCCGACAACTTGTCACGCCAAATCACGCCAAATCACGCCAAATCACGGTTTGCCGTTTGCACAAGCAAAGGACAGGAACACAATCCGAGAAGAAGTCACGCAAAAACATCGAAATTTGGCGGGTCATTTGCTCCAAATCACTTGCTAATTTTGGGCATGCAGGTGTGAAGAACATGGTAGGGATATACTTTGGTCAGCCAGGGGGAATAAACGGACCTTTGCTGAACTGCTTTTGGGTAGCAACAATAGGCACCTGTTGGGCCTTTAGTAGACCAAGCTTTGAATAGGCAACACTGAGCTTATCGCATGGTTGATGCGATCCCAGAGCTGATGCGAGTAGACAATCCGGATGCCGAGTCTCCAGCATGCCAATGAAAACTGAAGATCACTGAAGACATGCATGCTAAGCTTGGTGGCTCCTTATCCGAGTTTACATAGCAATAAGTATTGCCAAGCTAATACTTGACATACAGATTGCGCGTGCAGCATCATATAACCCATGCTCAATCGGCAAAACGCCAGGTCTGCCTAATCGCAATGCAGTCATTGACCTAAACCTACAAATAAGAACACTGCTTTATGCTCTGAGCTTGGATATTCATCATCTGCATGTGTACATAAAGTCTTGTACATGTGCATATACATAAATTTGCACCTGCGTAACATGTGTATGTCTATGTTTTGCTTAGCGGAAAACGCTTTTTGGTAAGATAAATTTGGAGTTTCTTTTTGGTATGCTTGGACATCTTGCTGCGTAGATTGAGCACACTTGAATGGCCAACAGTTACTGGGTGGCAGTTGGGAGTCGGCTCGGCAGGCCAATTTGGCTTGGCGCTCCTCATCTCAATCATTCGGCACAGCCAGAAACATGTCCATACTTGCACTCGCGTGTAGGCTGTGCTGTTGTAAAATGAATCCCTGGCAGTTGATAGATGGCTGTGCTTTCCAACGCGGCTCAAGGTCGGCAAGTCCGTGCCTTTGGCGCAGAGCATGTTGAATTTGTAAGCTTATCATTTCAACTACGTATAATCCAAGATCAAAGCACATTTACATGGGCAATAGAGCTCGAGGGTGGCTTTGCGTTGCACGGTTGAACAATTTGCGTACTCAATAGTTAGAGCGGCTTTCTCACAAGAGTGCACCAACGCTGCACGTACACACAGTCCCACAAGAACTGCCCAAGTGCACGAACAGAATCATTCCTGCAATTGTTGATTTGTTTGTTTGGCGTAGCCTGCTCATGCGGAAAAAACACTTGCAAGAGTCTGATGGCGAGCTCTCAACCATCGCTAGCTACAAACGTCATCAAATGTCCATGTCAGTAACGCGGTGTTTACATTTGCTGACGCAAGTGAAAATTAATGTTAGCAAGCATGATCATTGGACCCATGC